CTTATAAAGTCAATCTAAGCACTGTTATTTATTGAACTGGTTAGCAGATATTAGCTTGTGGAGCATATATACAGAGTTTAGCTCTGCTGAATCATGCTTCAATGTAACACAAACTATTAAATATTACAGCTGATTTGTCCTCTGATTAATATTTAGACCTACAGAGTGTAAAATAATATTATAAATGTGAGTATTTTTAGGTTCCTGTTAGAAGAACCTGACCTGTTGGGAAGATGGTTAGCTAATAGAGACAAGTTTCATTCTATAACCAGGTATACAGAGAACATGTACTGTTGACTGGTTTATTATACTTATTTTTATGACAGTATGAAAAAATAATAAATATACTTTATTAATAGCTGAAGTCATCATTTGTTAACTAGCTAAAAAGTCCAAGTTACAGGCTGACTTCAGGTCTGGATCATTGTTGTTTAGAAATTATATATTTTTCTGGTGTATATCTGCTGTTTTACATGATTGTTGAATGAAATTAACATAGTTAATTTATTGTAAAATATTACAGATAATTTGTGAAATAGATCCGGTTCAGCTCGCTGTTTATCTATTAGTTTTTATGGAGGCTGTGAGCTGTTGTCTGTTTGGTCTCTGTTTCTGCTCCTCCATGCTGTCACAGACGCTACCAGTGGATGGGTTGAAGTCTATGGTAGTAGCACACTTAAAATAAGGTCTTTTTATAATTTAACAATTGCTTTTCTCCAAGCGTTGTTCCTGGATCCCAAAAAATGAACCAATTTATGGATTTGGACTCTTGTATATAACCACCCAGGTAATATTTAGCAAGTTTCAGAGTCTTAGTGCACACGAGAAGATCTACAGGCAATGTCGCAACACTGTCACTGGTCAAGACGGATATTTAACAAAACTCACGATTCATCAAACTTCCTGAAAGCTGCAACGTCTTTAGATTTGCTTTCAGTTTTTCGCTTTCAGCTGGAGCTTTAAGCCGACAGCGCTTCCTTCACTCGGGGCGTGTTGAGGGCTTCAACATGCTCCGCAGCTTGTGTTATTCCTTGGTTGAGCGAGTGTGTTGGGTCACTGCTGCTTGTTTCCAGTCAATACACCCACACACTCTTCTCAAAACAGGCCCCGTCACTGGCAGAAAAAAGTCAGAGAGAGATGAGTATGCGGGAAGTTTGTGGTGTACATTTGTAGTGTTTGTGTGTGCATTTGTGTATTTGTAGGTGTTTGTGGTGTCAGTGGTTCTGCTCGACAATGTGTGCAACTTTGTGTATTTCTCGATGCTTAAATAGCATATTTGCTTTAACACAAGCACACAGGAGCTCAAGCTCTTTATTGATCTGACTGTCACTCTGTCACTTCTCTTTCACTTCTACTTCTCTGCAGGTCATTTCCGTTATCCTAACTCATGACTGCAGTCATGCAGGACAGAGTTTCGCTTTATCTGCTTTAGACCTAATTTCTTAACAACAGACCGTCTGTTTTAACTAAAATGGCTAAAATAATCCCTGCAGATAAAAAAAGCTTAATTTTGTGGAAAATCCGTTGACTTGCATATGTCACCTTCAGTCATCCGTCTAATGAGCTGAAGGCCAGCTGGATAATAAATTATTGTGTGAAAGCTGATTCAGCAAATTCTAGAATCTTCAGCACACTTTTATTAACTCAAACTATGTTCTTGTACTTTGTGCTGTTTTAACCATTTATAGATCAAACTGTTCAGCTTGATTTTTACTTTTATACTTCTCAGAATATTTCACCTCTTTAAAGCCTATTATGGATACGTTCACACTGCAGGCAAATCCGACCCAAACCCGATTTTTTTGACCCATCTGACTCATATTCAATTTTTTTATGACAGTGAACGAGACAAATCTGACCCAGGCCGTTTCAGTATGTGGTTTTAAATCGGATACATATCTGATGTTTTCAAAGTGACTGCAGT